TAAAAAAAAAAACAAAACAACTTCGTCTTTTTTTTTTCTTCTATTTTTCGAAAAAATGTGAAATGAAAATGAATTTCCGTGATTTAAACTTATTAATGCCCGGATATCATTAGATGTAATGATTTTTAAAGGTCAAGACTTCTTATACAATATACCTAGTAACAGTTTTGTTACACACAATTTCTATAATAAAATTTGGTAGTAAGTACGATAAGATTAGATTTTAATTCAGAGTAGTCCAAAAAACAAGAAAAGTAAATTAAAAAAAATGAAAATTATCCTATACTTAACTCGGTGACTACCACTAATAATGGGATATAATGAATCTTAGAAATAGGTTATTTGAATTATTAAGGATATTATTATCAAAATACTAATACCTAATGCATTAGGCATTCAGTTTTTATTCAGCGATTAAAATTGTATTATTCAAAATTAACTAATTCAATTTGACATTAGATAAAGGCGTGATATTCACTTGAATCGTGCTATTACTTATATTCTCTACGGAGATCTTTATCCATATTCTGTGAAATTGAACCTTGGAATGTAGCGATCTTCGTTTTAAAATACAAATATTATTTAGAGATTCTAGCTGGATTAAATGGCTGGATTCCAACCATTAGAATTTTAATTAGAGATTTTCACCGTTGTCTTTTATCCTTTCTTTAACAAGTCAACAAAATATTTTTATATATATATTTAAGAATTCTGAAACTGTTGAAGGTTTATATATAGAAGCTTTTTATTGTAACCACAGACTAAAGATATAAAGAATTCCTGTTAAGATTTTCAATCATTATTTTATCAAATTTAAAATCGAAAAAACACTGTCGTAATAAATGTACATAGTTTTTTTCTTCTAAATATTAAAATGGAAAAGTTTCTTAATTGCATTTTTAAATTTATTTTTGAAAAATAAAATTTAATGAGTTAAAGAAACTTAACGCTTAAATTTTCTTTGAAATTTCTGTTGTCAATTCTCGATAAGAAAAAATGATTTTAAAAGGTGTTTTATGATGTTTTTTTTTTATTCTGACATACAACTCAAAATATAAAGCCTCTGTAATTTTTTAACACGTTTCTAAATAATTTTTTAAAGAAATTCAATTTATTTCTTTAACCAATTAAATTTACTCTGTCCGTGTAAGGTATGTGAATCCATTCATAAAATTTCAAGATAAAAAGCTGAAACATCTTAAGTAAATTGATCTCACATATGTATAAAATGGTTTCTCCAAAAATTTTCGCTTATCCCCTATTACTTTTAATTTATAACCTCTTGAAAACTTCATACATGCAACTTTTTGTCGGCTCTTTATACAGTTGTAACCATAAATAAAAAGAAATACATATTAAAATTTCGCAAACGCTCCAAAATCTATCTGAAAAAATTATAAAAATAGTTATACGACCGCAAATTTTCCTCATTCGGAATCAATCTACTTTTTTAACAAGACCATTATTTTAATATTTTGTGTAAATATCAACAAAAAATTTTATTTGTTAGAACAAAATATTTTTAGATCTCCTCTAAATTTTAAGTATTATCGCTTTTTAAATTTAATTGAATTTCAGTTTTCAGCCAATTATTTCAAGAAAAATTTTCAGAATATAAGATAAGAATTTTTAAATTAAGCATACGTATACATATTCAATATTAATAGTATAATATTATTAAATAATAATATTGTTATTATTGAAATTAAAAAGTATATATATGCTTATGTAAGTAATATTTTTCTTATTTTTTTTCTTTTACTTTATTTTCATAAATTAAAGAAAATCCAATATGACTGAAAAGAAGAATGAAAAGGCAACTAACGCTGCATGAAATGATAAAGAATAGCCCCAATTCACCAAGCTAATAATTTTGAAGTCATTTACTAAATGTACAATTTATATATGAAGAATAATTCAATATTAAAGAAGAATCACGTTATCTATAACCTGTGTTATGGATTATATTAAACATTTTTTCAAAATTATTAAAGGAATTCAAAATAATATTAATGAAATTTTGTTTATTTTGTCTCATCGTACGTTAATTTCTAAGTGTAATTTATTAAAATTTTTCACAATATTCAAAAATATCATGTATGGGACTGAATTGTAAAATTTTTTTCTTAATTTGTTCTAAATACATTTGCATAATAAACAGAAAATTATTTATTAAAATAATTTTAAAAATATTATAAATTTAAAATATGTAAAAAGCATGAATGCATACATATTATATTTAAAAAAAAATAAACTAAAATTTTAATAGTTTTTAGATTTTAATATAACAAAAATAAACACTTTATAGAATAAATTTATCGGCTTAATGTAATTTTTAAAAAATTCAAATTGATTGTACATACTTACATACATATTATACATATATACAATTTTTTTATTTATTTAAACAAGTACACTGATTTAATTTCATTTTTCCTAAAATTCTTTTTATTTTTCTTAAAAATTGTTTTACCAAAAAGGCAATTTTTATACACGATTGCAATCAGAAAAACTCAATCTGTACCCACATGTTCAAAATACATACATAATTGCATTAAGGAAGTAAATGTTATTTTTTTGTTTTGATTTTGTTCTTGTTAAAAATAACATTGTAATTTTTTAAAACATACACATGTTTTTTAAAATAAATTATAAGTGTAACGCAAACAAATTAAAAAAATTAAAAAAGAGAACAATGCAATTTGCCTTATTTAAAGTGTAATTCGTCAATATAATATAAAATTATATAAGATAATGTAATATGTCCGACACGAGTTTGATTATTGTTATTATTAAAACAAAAAAAAAAAATTCTATTAAGGGTTTTCCGGTATTTGAGACAAGTACATATTACTATACATACATATAATAGGTAGTAGTATAACATACAATAAAAATTCTCATTTTCTTTTCTTTAAGAATAGAACACTTTGCAAGTGCATCCAATATTAAAAATGTTTATATAACGCATAATATTATGTTTAGAAAATTAAAGAGGAAGAGTTAAGAAATTTTCAAAATTTTATTATATTTATATAAAAAAAAATTACTTATTAGAAGGGTGTTTCAATTTAAGGAAATTGTATATAAGGATTTATAATAATATCTGGGGTTAAAAATTAAGAAACCAGGTTGTACTAACCGGGACAGTAGACCCATATTATAAAATGAAATTCAATTAAATTTTTAGGCGAAGTTTTTTTTAAATCATATAATATTATGAAATAATTATAAGACTAATGTAAAAATGTAATTAAAAGAAATTTGCAATGTTAAGTTTCAACAAAATATGCGAAGCTGGGGTATCTTTGGCCAAATTTCGTTTTTTTTTCTTTTTTCCTGTTTATACTAGAGAATTGTTCAAAGATTTTAATCAAACAAAAAAAAAACAACAAAAAATGGGTTTTTCTTTTGTCTTCGGTTACTTGGTCTAATATTTAGGTATTTAGTTAATAAACTATTATGTAGGTACCGACTATGTACTTACAGCTTACTGTAAGTACATAGTAGGTACCTTAATATTTGCTTACAATAAATCCAACGACGGGGCAAAATATTTTATTCCATCTTTTTTTAAAACCATCAAGAACAGGTTCACCACATTGTTTTCAATGCAAATTCGAATGCATGCGCACAACATAAAAGTTATCAGTTTCTGTTATCCATAAATGTTCTTGATCCAAATCCATTAATTTCATTTCATCATAGTAATCAGACATTTTTACTTGAATTTGTGATTCAATCTTTATCAGCATTATACGGTTCCTTCATTGTTGCAGTATCATCATTGTTTCACTATTTTTACGAATTTCTATTAAATCCAAATTTGCTAAAACCAAAGATGTGTGTGAATTGTTTACCAAGTTTAGGTTCAAACATACATATATAAAAATTTCTGTTTTTTGTAATTTTATCAAAATTTTAAACATTTTTTGTATATGTAAGGAAAATTGTACTTGTTTACAAATTTCTTTTATTATATAACACATAGAAAAATCTTTGGAAATATTACTCTGATCAATAGCTCCTGTATTTAACGGTTAGAAACTTGCAGAAAGCGATCTTCTACTTTCTGAATTTTAGCTTAATAATTAACATTTTTTACAGAGCTCACTTGAATACTATGTTAAATTTTGAAAATGTCTCAAATCGTTTTTAAAACTCCAAGGTAAAGCACCATTTAATGGTATTCCTCAATATATTTAATTCCATAATTTGTGAGTGCAAAAAAAATACATCCTAAAAAGATAATTATAATAAAAATCTAAAAAAATGTGAAAATTTTATTCCAAAACAAAATCAAGTAAATTTATTGCATATATCTTAAATTAACTCTATCAGCAAACTATTCAGCCAATCCAAACTACTTTGCATATACTTTCATTTTCAAAATATGCGTACATAATACAATGGTATGATTTGTAGGCGAAAGGTTGATGGTACATCTTAGTAGTTTTATATGAAATTAAATACGCCCAATGTTATGCAAAATTTATTTTTCAATTCACGTACAAAATTTGTTTATTGGGAAAAACAATTTCCATTTGATAATAACAGCAAAAACAAAATATAAAGTTGATGTAGCTTCAACTCCAATAGGCCCTTATAAACCTTTTTTTTTCTTTTGCACTTAAATTTCTTTATAAAAAGAAAATCAGAGAAATTTCAACGGTTAAACATCTAATAATAGGAGATGTACACATGAGATAAAGGATTACATTGTGATTTTGCATAAAATATTGTGTGATAAAATATTGTTACCTGAAATTTTTTAATATTAATGGTGTTTACCTATAAGAAAACTGCTCACTGCATAAAATGTTAACTATTTTAATGTTATCAAAACGCCAAACATTATTTTGTGAATCATTTATTTTATATTTAACCTATATTATGAACTCGATAAGTTTAATGTCAGAGTAAAGGTGAAATCTGGTAAATTTTTTCTTTCTGTAAAATCAAAACCTTTACAAATCTTAAATTAACTGTACACTTGAGGATTGATTTTTTTCTTTTTATTTAATTTAAAATAAAGCTTTTACATTATAACTAATAAGAATTTTCAATTCTAATCGATAGATTCTTTTGCTCATAAAGGCACTCAAAAACATATAAACATCCTTAACGAAATGTTCCTATTCATTATGTTATTAGTTCGTGAGATAAAATTCTTGGTCAAATATACAATACAATTATATATAAAATATGTCCTAAGATCTATAGTCTGATTTACAATATATACTTTTATAATACATTGTCAGTTTTAAAATATACATAAATAGGTTGAGTTAATTTTTAAATTGATTTCCGTATAGAATACATTTCGAACACTCATTGTTTATATTAGTTGTTCGGTAATCTTGATTCAAGTAAGGTAAAAAAAAAAGAATATCTAAAACTAAACTTTGCAAATTTTTGCTCCAAAAATTAGAATAATTAAAATTGAGCTTTATACTAATATACATTATATAAAACCTTAAAATTTAAATAAAATTAACTTCATTTAATTTAAAATTCACCCATACCTTTTTGTGAAACATTTAATCTAATACATCTTGCAAACGTAAATTTTTAAACCTCTTTAAAAGTCTGCGTCAAGAGTAAATACATTATCTAATGGATTTGCTGTTACTCCCCATTTTTGATATTCCCCAACTTTTTTTTCAAAAAAGTTTGTTTTTCCATCTAATGATATTAATTCCATGAAACTGAAAGGGTTTGGTGTATTATAAATCTGAAAATAATATTTAATAACATTATTAGTATAAAGGTATTTAAAATAAATTTAATTTAATATATTACTTTTTCAACTCCCAACTCTCTTAGCAATCGATCAGCAACAAATTCAATGTATTGTGACATTAAAGTACAATTCATACCAATTAAATTTACAGGTAATGCATCAGTTAAAAATTCTTGTTCAATTTTCACAGCTTCAGATATAATTTCAATAATTCTTTCTTTACTTGGTTTTTGTATTAAATGTTTAAACATTAAACATGCAAAATCACAATGTAATCCTTCATCTCTTGAAATCAATTCATTTGAAAATGTTAATCCTGGCATAAGGCCACGTTTTTTTAACCAAAATATTGACGCAAAACTACCACTAAAGAATATTCCTTCAACAGCTGCAAATGCAATAATACGTTCTCCATAGTTAGCAGATTTACTTGAAATCCATTCTAGTGCCCAATCAGCTTTTTTCTTAACACACGGTAATGTTTCAATTGCATTAAAAAGAAAGTCTCTTTCTTTCGGATCTTTAATATATGTATCAATTAGAATACTATACATTTCCGAGTGAACATTTTCCATAGCTATTTGAAATCCATAAAAACAACGAGCTTCGGTTACTTGTACTTCCTGGCTAAAACGTTCAACAAGATTTTCATTTACAATTCCATCTGAAGCTGCAAAAAATGCTAGAACATGTGATATAAAATGACGTTCCCCGGAAGTTAATTTGTTCCAGTCTGCCATATCTTTTGATAGATCAACTTCCTCAACTGTCCAAAAAGATGCTTCAGCCTAAAAATAATTCTTTGCATTATAATATAGCTTCTAACATAATATACATATCTACTTATATATGGATAGGTACATTATATTTTCTATATTTAGTAAGGATACCTATTAATTATGTACCTACTTACATATGTTTTTAAAATTATTCAATTTTTTATGGTTTTTAATCTTTATCGTTTTCTTGAATTTATTGTTGCAATGAAATTACTATTTGAAAAATATCAATAGCAATTATTTTTTATGTTTTAAAATTGCTTACTCAAAACAAAAAGAAAAAAAGCCGCCAAAGCAACGTAATTACCCGCCAAAATTTCCATTTTTGTTACGCATAAAAAAGAATAGATAACCTACTTATGTATATACATATGCCTGTCCTATCCATAGCTAATAAAAAAATTACATCAACTATTTAAGTAAATTATGTACACATACATACATTTAATTGTGCACATTATTTCATTTTTATTTGGAAAACTAAACTAAGCTTATTTCGTACTAAAGTGATGCTTAATCATTAACTTTCAACCATTTAATTATAAGTAATCAATAATCAAAATTACCTTCTTGTACATTTCCCAAATATCATGATATTGGATAGGGAATATAACAAACCGTCTTGGATTATCCTTAAGTAATGGTTCAATAGATGGGTCAAATGGGGCTCCACTTGCTTTATTTGCAATTGAAGCTGTATTGTCTTCATTTTTACAAGTTTTGGCAGGTATACTAAAATCCTCGTCATTTAAAGTAACTTTACGAACGTTATGTGCGCTCTCAGTCAAAACCTTTCTTGGACTCTGCAAATTATATACATTTGTATGTTAGTATGTAGTTCAAATGTTTAATAAACCAAATGCGTTTCTTGCCTTTAATGAAATGTTTTCCATATTTTCAGATAATTTTACTTTTTGTAAAGACATTTTTAATAATAAATTTTCTATATATAATTTTTAATAAATTTTCTAACAAATATTAAATGGACGAAAAATACTTTTTAGACTACGATGTTATACCACTGACTTCAACTGAATAAATAAATGGTGTCGTATGAAGTTATAAATAGTTTACCCTTTATATTTAGCTTCTTATTTTTCGTAGAACGCGCCAAATTTTTTGTTGTATTCTATGAAAACTCGCTCATTGATGCATAAATAAACCTCAGTTGTCACGTAAACTTCTATCTGTTTAAATTTTTTTTATCTGTTGATCTTTGAAATACCTTTCTTAATGTTATCTAGATAACCATCCATTGACTAAACAAACCGATAAGTATGATTTTCGCCGACAATTTACGATTTCTAATTTTTACAATTTTTTACAATGATTCACACAGCATTGCGAAATTACATCCTATTAATTTAACAGACAAACTTTTTAAAATCAACATATTAAACATATGATTTAGTAAAATTATGTATTTATGTAAACAATAAAATTTCCTAGAAATACTTCAGAACGCTAACAAAATGTCAAATATATCCAAATTAAGGCCTGACTATAATTTTCTTTTGAGCTCAGCCATATGATGTAATTCAAAGTGTCAAAGTGTACACTGAGCAAATCAAATTCAAAGTGTCAAAGTGTACTCTGAGCAAATCAAAAAAAAATCTGAGATATTTGATTAAAAAACGAATATCATATACAGCAATTTAATGTCATATCAAACAAGAAATTCCAAAATAGAATAAATATTTACTTAAGAGTTTTCAAATTTAAATTAGTATATACATTTTATCTTTCAAAAAATTTCAATTTCGCATATATAAAGTGAAAGCTCTACGAAAATTGAAAATTTTTTCGAATATGTATATTAAACGTCATGAGATAGAGTAAAATATTCATGTGAAATAAACATTAAATCAAACAGTTTTATTAAGGGCACAAATAGCTATAAAAAAAAGAAAGAGAATTATGCATTTTTCTTACTTCACAGCAGTTTTAATTAATAAAAATTCTTCTTCTCCTTTGATAGTTGAGTTACTGATTTTCGTTAAGTTCTGCTCACGATCTTTTGTATAAAAATTTTTATATCGATTCATGTAGAATGTCAAAAAACTTAATTGTTTCTTTTTTGCTCTTTTTTACTTTAAGTGCTTTGAAGATTTTGAACTGATAATGATATTTTCGACAGTTGTCGTTATTGAGAGATTATGTATTTTGTTTGAATAAGAATTTTGTATTGAGGGCAATTTTTTGGTTGTTTCACCAAGCAAAAATCAAAAAATTATTAAGCTACTTACAATTTGTTGATTTTTTATTACGTTAATTTTATTTTATATTTTTATAAAGTTTAAAATGCTACACTCTATATAAAAAATTGGTGAAGCATGGGAGAACTTACTTTTCATTTTGCTAATATTTTGCAAATGATATTTAGCAATAGCTAGAAAAATAATAAGTCTCGGGGCTAGTTAAAAAATACTTGCATAAAAAAAATGGTTTCCTTCACGAGTTAGCAAAAAAAAAGCTTTTAATTAGTTAAATAGTATTATATATAATATTACATAAAAAATAATGAGTGTTTTATTTTCACCAACAATGTTTTAATTTTTTGACAAGCTGTATTATTTTTAACATATAATTTGATGTTGTCAAAATATTGCTTTCTAAATAAAAATGTTAATACATTGTCACTTTTCTAATATTATATATTGCGTCTGTATGCAGTTTGAAACCGACTTCAAGTTGGTTTCGAGCTCATATGAACTGTACTTAACTTGACATTCAAGTCAAGTCGATCCAGTAAAATTATTAGTTTGACTTGAAAGTGGAAATCGTATGTAATGAAAATGGAAACTGTATGTAATAAGAACTGTATATGCGCGGATTGAAGGATTGAAAAGAGTAAATTAAAACCTAAAGTTTGTCGGAAATTTATAACTCTATGTTATTCTAATCCGTCTTTTTATACTTCATTCTTTTCTTTTAATATTGGATTGTGTCTTCTCTAAATAAAAATACATAATATGTATTAGATACAATGATGACACATAATGTATTTTTATTTATGAAAGACCCAATCCAATATTATAAGATGAGAATGAATAAACATAAAATAGAATAACATAGAATAACATAGTGCTAAAAATAAAAATGTAGAATGGTGAATATTAGAGTTTATTTAGATTTGAGATTTATATTTTCATTGCCTTTGCTAAATTTAATTTTCCTTAATAATAGTGGTTTGTGTCTTTGTGATAATACGTATGTATTTTGATATACATACATAGCACGACAAAAGTAAAAATTTTAGTTTATTATGACTATTCTGACTTTGAAATCATTAAAAATTACACATATTAAAAATGTATGTAATAATTTGTATATGTATAATACATATGTATACCTCTAATCAAAGATTTTAAAAATTTTAAAAAAGAATTTTTAATGTCTTTGCTTTAACCGAACCCTTTTAATAATAGACCAAATAGCATTTGATTTCTTACAATATTTCTTTGCATGAACCTGTTGAAATTCGTGTCAGCACAAACCTATCGAAAACCACACCGGTTGGTTTATAACAGTCTTAAAATGACTACTTGATTTGAAAAACAAGAAATAATGAAAAGTTCAAATACTCCTTGTTTCCATTCAAAATTAAAATGAATTATAAACATTGTTCATAAAATGTAAATTAATTTGACAATAATAATGTAATTATACAGGTATAATGAAAAATAACATTATCCTTTTGATGAAAGTAAAAACATTAATAAATTATGGGTGTATATAATTATATACATATGTACCTACATAACTGATTTTTTTTGATTTCAAAATAAAAATAATTTAAAATCCTTTTTCAACAAGATTAAATATTTTATTTATAGTTATATACGTATATGTAAACTGTTATAATATATACAGATATCGCATTTTACATGTATAAATCCTGTATATATCAGCTTGTATATAAATCCTTTTTTCTCTTTGTATTCCCAAATTTTTGTAATGTACAGTAATATACATACATACTTATGCATTTTTTAATGTGAACTATGGAAAATTCTTATTTTCTCTTTTTTTTATAATATAACAATAAAATTGATAGCGTGACCTAGTTTAATGCTGGATTTTTTTATTCTTATTTTTTTACACCTGATCATCAAGATTAATGACATTGGAATCTTTATTTAATTTGTTTGCTATAAATGATAAATATATTATTACTATAGTGAATATTTAATGTACATATATGCAAGTATGTATATGTATGAATATTTAAAATATTTTACAAGAATACAATTTGGGTACGTATATAAAATACCAAATATTTAGAAAGAAGAGCATATATAGTGTATATGATTGTACTTTAATATAGAAATGTAAAATTTAAAAAAAAAATTCATGATAGTTTTACAACAATATTAAAATAAATTTATTAAATTTTTCTTAAAATATAATATATATAATGATATCTATTATACATTCAAATACTTATGTATTAATGTATATACATAAATAAATAAAGGTTTAAATCTAATCATATAACTGTCTATAATAATTATATATTGTCATTACTTTTATTTTCTTACAAATTGTTATACAACAAACAAAATATTAGTTACAATTACATATATTTACACAAATTTAATAAAATATGTATAATTGCATTGTATACATAACAAAAAATATATAAAATATGTAAACAATTATATTTAAAATATATTTCACTGTAAGTTTGCAGAAATGTCCTTTTTCATGTACATAAATAAAATATTTTTCATACTATACAAAATTCGAGTATTACAATATTTATAATATACTTACACTTGTGCAAATATGCGTGTATTCAAAATAATTATTATAATAAGATAAAACTACTATTGCATGTTGCAGTATTTTTGAAATGAACACAACATTTCCTACTCTGTATGAAAATGTGTGAAATTTTTAAATTAAAATTCTGCATTTATATACAGATGTACAATGAGTTCATTTTGCAGCTTCTGTAAATTATTTTGTTATATGATAAAATATCCTGGTACATTTTATTATTATCCTTAACTTATAATTTTATTAGTGATATAGTTACTTAAACTGCATTTTTCTCCTCTAAAATTTCGCTCAATATAGTTTTGCAGTTTGTTTATACATACATACAAAAACTCAGTATGTCGCCTCCTTATATATCATTTTGTCGCTTCTGCAATGTATAATTCTTTTATATATATTTCATATATTATTGCAATTTTTATACGAAAACAAATTCACTCTCTTTTACTTTATTAACATTATAGATTTAAAATATATAAATATATTATATTTATATACTGATATATACAAATATTATTAAAGTAGTACAAACTGTTATATACATATATATAAAGTTTATAATATTTAATTTTATAAATCTGTTGTACAGCTAGAGTATATATATAGTGTTTATTTACATATACTTACATTTGTATATTTGCATAGTATACCTTGCATGTAATTTGAGTAGAACATGGGTACTAGTAAATCCAAAATATTATGTGACTTTTTAGTTAAAATGCACCCTTTTCTTTATATATATTTATTTTACATGATATTGAAAATCAAAGTGAAAATTATTGCGTTACAGCAAATGCTCTATAATATTATTTTGAAATCTCTATGTACATATATAGCATAATATAATGCTATATAAGAATTCTACAAATTTTAAATATTACAATATTTTTATGTTTAATTTTATACGCTCTGTAATGTAAGCAAACTTACATATTCCTTATAAATATCAACTTTGATTTTCCTAACCTTCTAATTAATATAAAAAAATTATATATGTATATTTGCATGTAAAAATATCTTAAACACAACACATGTATATATATACATATATGTATGCAAATATCTATAAGATAAGACCCTCTTTAAAATTTACTAATAAGAATAGTCATTACGTGTAATATATATATAAAATATTCATATATAC